TGGTTTTCTGCACTGACACCATTTTCTGCTTTTAAACAGTTTCGTAAATTCTTTTTCACTCATTATAGAGCAGGCATTTTCTCAATACATGAAAGTTCTACATTGTGTTTAAGACGTGTCCACATGACAAGTGACTGACTCGTGTCCCCCTGTGGGCTGTGCTTCTGGGGTTTTATTCCCTATCGTGCTGCATGGACCATCACTGTGTGCAGAAGGCTTCTCAGAGCAGTGAGGGTGGGTTTTAGTGGTTTTTGATGCATCTCACTGGATTGCTTTGAAAATGTGATTTGTATGGGTTTACACTCCTACTCGACCATAGGAGGTAGCCGGTTCATCCTAACCTTGTAACTGCCCTTTTACCTGTGAAAACTTGAAAGACAAAAAGGAGGCTGTATTTGAATGTTTAGTTTTAGGTTTGAGCGTGTGATCTACATCGTATTGTGAATTAAGTTTTGAAATATGTGGGACCACGTGAAGTAAGTGGCATGCGCAACATGTCCTGGCCGGGAGGAACAGAAACATTCTGGTTGCCGTTTTGAAACAACTAGGTGATAAAAGAACAAAACATATAAAAGGCAACGTTTGGTTCTTGCAGCGGGGCATGGTGGCCCCGGGAAGGGAAAGCAAGATGGAACACATTTCCTTCTCCTCGGTCGAGGTGGAAGCATCAACTAATTTGTTCTTCAGAATTTTAAGGCTTTCTCACGACAGCCCTGTGTAATGTTCTCAGCCCAGGCCAGAGCCTCCCTTGAGCCTGGCACTGTGCAGCCCTGTAGGGGTGGGGCCCAGAGGGTGGCCCGCGGTGGCCCTGATGGCTTCCTTTTGAAGTAGGGTGGTGTTTTCTTGCATTTTATAATACTGGCCCCAGAATGCCGGATGTAGAGTAGGTGTCCTGAAAGCCTGAGACCGTCTGCAGATTTGCAAGGATGTTCATTTTCTTCCGCGCTGCTCTTTCCTTAGCCATGGATGTGCAAGCTTTCGAAAGGCTGCTGGGACCTTGCATGGAGATTATGAAGAGGAATATCACCACCTACGAAGAGCAGTTGGTGGCCCTGTTTGGAACAAACATGGACATCGTCGAGCCCTCTGCATGAAGCAAAGGACGGAGAAGAGGGCCTGTGGTGACCAAGGACACAGTAGTGGTTGGTCCACGAGAATGTGTGTGTGTAGATGCCAAGCGTTTTCTGTGATTACAGGATTTGGTTTCATTTTCACTCTTTCTTACATTGACAGTGTATCAGTAAACAGAGTAGTGATTTAATAGTCGATAGGCTTTAACGTCACTTTCTAAGTACTTAGATCATTTAAAAAAAAACTCGACGTGCTGACAAAAATGACTTTCTACTCCGTACAGTTGTGATGTGATGGAAAGGTTTTATCCACATGATTGAAATACATCGGAAAGCATCAGTGTTGGAGACGATAATGAAGGGATGCTTTGGTAGGCGATGTAAGATGTGCTCACTGAGACTCACGCAGCGTGCTGTGCCGTGTCACAGGGAGCCGGAGTGGCCCACGCTGCACAGCATGGCATCCCACCTGTTTTCAACACATTCTGTACCTCTCTCATCAGTACAGTTTTGATAGGGTCTGTTTTGAAGTGTTTCTGGTATGCTAAGTCCTGTGCTGGCCTTGGCCTCTTGGTGACATGGTAAAGAACATCATATGCAATTTTAAAACCTTTTATACTTTTGCAATAAAGTATTGCTTTGACTTCTTTGGCACACTGTCAGTAGTGGACATATTCCAGTGGTCCCCTGACAGGCACTTTGTCCTGATCAGGGTAGATGAGAGTTCCTGCCCACATTTTCCCCTCCAGTAAATGTGCATCTTTGCTTCCTTTTTGTACAACCACCTTCTGTGTTCTCGCTCTTTAAAATCCTGAGTTGGACATTCTGGGTCAAAAGTAATGTTTAGGGGAAAAAATTTTTTTCAAGCTAGTAAGACCTGTTAAATGCTAGCTTTTAGTTCTTTCTAGTAAATGCCTAAGATCCCCTAAATAGTACGTAACAGCAACCAAGAAACCTCCTGTACCAAGAAGTGTTTTAGATGCTCACTAACGTGCTCACGGCACCTCACTCTTGACTCGCCCAGTAGCACAGCCCTTCACAGACATTCGCTCTCCCCCGTTTCTCCTCCTCCTGAGCATTGTGCACACCTGCAACCTCAGTGGTCACCGGCCAGTGAGGAAGGCGTTTCCCTCTTTTTCTATAGAAGCTTCCTCCAAGACAGTAGAAATAAATGTTTATAAGCAAAGTTATACTCAAAGGTAAAAGAAGTTTCTGCCCCTACCACATGTTACTATTAGATTTTGTCATTTGCTTTAATGTAGGCTCACAGTTAACGTACAGAATGAGTTCAACGTAATATGATCATTCATGTGCTTATTGTTCTGCTACACAAGATGATTTTTAATTACACGCACTTAAAGCAATTTAACATGACTGTTAGGACCACAAGACTTACCAATGTTTAGAAATACTAATTCTTATCAGTTGTTCACTTTCAAATGACAAATTTGTTTTGGGAAACATGTTCCAAAAGGAATATGTACATGGATAAACTTATTCTGTGGCTAGTTTGGTCTTAGGGAATGTTTCTAATTATACTTGTACATGAAAATATGGCTAGGGTGTATTAATTGGATAATATATATGTAAGAAATTATAAAAAAAGTACGTAAAGGCATAACTTCTACCACATTTTAGAACATTTTTACTAAACAGATTTCTAAAAGATAGTTCTACATATAGATGCTTTGTTTTCTGTTGTACTATAGATTTTAAAAGCCATGTCAGTAAAACAACAACAACCAAAACAAACAAAAAAAAAAAGAACCCCAAATTCTGGTTTATTATCATGTATTCTTTATTCATGTTTTTCCAGTAAAACATTTTGTTGTATAAGCTGATGGTTAATTACTCATAGAACAGCAAACGAATGCTTATTTAATAAAGAACTCTGATCAAGGCTGTAAATGCCAGTTACATTATTTTCAGTATTGTTGGTTATATTTAAAATTTCCTTATAATAAAGCACACTTTTATAATAAACCGTGTGAATTGGTTTTTAATATGCTCCCCTCCCCCCATGCTTACTGTTTTACTATAACTCAGTAATGCATCGTACAATGGGAAAGCCATGCTTACTGTTTTACTGTAACTCAGTAATGCACCGTACAATGGGAAAGCGCACAGAGATGTGGCCTCCATGCACGCGAACGTCCCTGGTACAATGTGAGGGAGGAAGAATGGTTTGATATGGTAAGAGTTTGTTCTATTCTAACTCGCAGTCATACATGAGTTAAGTCATTGTGGCACACCACCAATTACACTGGCCATTTAGAAGCAGTGAGTGGATAATCTAAGGAATTTATGTGAAACATTATCAAATCAAAACACCTCACACATTTGGCATCCTTTAACTAAGAGGCTCAAGCCAGATTCATATAAGAGGGTTTGGAACAAGGCATATCATTGCTGAGGTCAGATGGTGTGTTAGTCTAGGTAGACTAGAGAAACAAATCCATAGACTCTCGTGTGTATAAGAAAAAGGTTTATATACAAGAGCAATTGAATATTGAGAAAGCATCCCAGCCCAGTCCAGATCAAGTCCATAAATCTGATATTAGCCCATATGTCCGATACCAATCTATAAAGTCCTCTTCAGACTCACAAAACAAATCCAATGATGCCAAATGCAAGATGATCACAGGCCAGTGGGTGATAAGTGTTGTGGATCCAGTGGCGGTAGAAGCATCTCAGTGCTGGCAGAGGTATCCATGTGGTTCCTCCAGTTCCCAGGGTACAGGGTCTATCAGGGTAGTGCCATGTGTCTTGTCAGTAGAGCATCTCTCAGAGAAGTGAGCATTGTCAGTAGAGAGTCCCCAAAGGCGTGAGCAAAGAGAGTCTGTCTCCCGCCTCCAAGGAGGAAATTCAGGAATTCTCAGGAGAAAGCCAGGCCTCATTGGCTATGACCCAATTGACAGACTCCACCCCTTCACTCTTAATCCTCTAAAGTCCCAAACTGACACCAGATTATGTAACTACCACAGATAGAACTTGGCTGGAAGCAAAGAATACCAGAAAGATGCTATTTTTTAATTGACTTTGCTAAGGTATTTGACCATGTGGACCATAAGAAACGATGGATAACCTTGAGGAGAATGGAAATTCCAGAGCGTTTAAGTGTGCTCATGCAGAACTTGGACATGGATCAAGCAGCAATTGTACGAACAACAAGGGAATGTTGCATGGGTTGAAAACCAGCAAAGATGAGTGACAGGGTTATATCCTCTCAATCTGTATGCTGAGCAAATCATCTGAGGACCTGGATTATACGAAGAATGTGGCATCAGGATTGGGGGAAGGCTAATGATATGATATGCTATGATATGCTAATGACACAACCTTGCCTGCTGAAAGCAAAGAGATCTTAAAGCACTTACTGATGAAGCCTTCAGCATTAAAAGTCAATGTCAAGATGACCCAAATCCTCACAACTTGACCAATCATAGGTACTATCTTGGTCAATGGAGACAAGGTTGTTGTCAAGGATTTTGTCATGCTTGAGCCCACAATCAGCGCTCATTCAAACAGTAGTCAAAAGATCAAAAGACACATTACATGAGATAAAGCTGCTGCATAAGACCTCCAGAGTGGGAACCGATTACATGGAACTGTGTGTGACCTCCTCCCTGGGGGACAGACAACCGAAAAGTGGGTGAAGGGAGACATCGGACAGGGCAAGATATGACAAAATACCCATTTATAAACTATCAAGGGCTCATGCGGGAGGGGGGAGCGGGGAGGGAGGGGAAAAATGAGGACCTAATGTCGGGGGTTTAAGTGGAGAGAAAATGTTTTGAGAAACGATGTACAAATGCACTTTACACAATTGATGTGTGTATGGATTGGGATGACAGTTGTATGAGCCCCTAATAAAATGTTTTTAAAAAAAAGACCTCCAGAGTATTGAAAAGCAAGGATGTTACTTTGAGGACTGAGGTGTGCTTGACCCAAGCTATGCTCTGTTCCATTGCCTCCTATGCTTGTGAAAGTGGGACCTTGAATAAGGAAGACAGAAGAATAGATGCATTCGAATTGTGGTGCTGGGGAAGAATATTGAAAATACCAATGACTGCTAAATGGACACACTGATCTGTCTTGGAAGAAGTTTGGTCAGAGTGCCCTTGGAGGTAAGAAGGGTGAAACAGGTGGCTTTCCTGAGAGACCAGTCCCTGGAGGAGGACACCATGTTTGGTAAGGGAGAGGGGCAGCAAAAAGGAAGGCTCTCAAGAAGATGGATTAAAACAGTGGCTGCATCAGTCGGCTCAGGCATTGGAACAATTGGGAGAATGCTGCCAGGCCTGCCAGTGTTTCCTTCTGTCATGCACAGGGTTGCTATGGGTCAGAACCGACCTGATGGCACCGAACAATAACCAACCAAGAGTCTTTACTATTTGGAAACTGTTGTCAAGGATGGATCTCCTGATGCACTATGTGCGGCTAAGGAAAAGCTTAGGAATTCTCAGAATGTTCTTTTAACATGGAAGTGCTGTTGCTTATTTATTATAAAGATTAAGCAGTGTTGTTTTCCTGTGTTTCAATATGAACTAGGACTCAGTGCATATATTTTAACATGAACTTCTACATTCCCTGTGACACAAGATGAGTGAATGCATTTGGGTTACTACTGTAAACTGGGGTAGGAAGCCAGGAGATAAAGATTTTATTGAAATAAAAGTTTTAAGTACTTAGTCCTTTTCCTTTATAAAGCTGCTTTAAAATACTGATTATATATATATATATATACATGTATATATATTATATGTATATATTGCCAATTTTCTCAAGAAATGTAACTTGGATTAGGTTACTATTAGCGTTTTTAGAGGAAATCAATCTTTATAAGTCTGGATGAGTAAGATATATGGAGAAGCCCGCATTTTGTTAGCTATCTGAAGAGATTTGAACACCTGAATAAAATGGTTTTGTTGTTGTTTTTACACCTAAATAAAATGTTAACACCTAAGGAGTATAAGGCATACTGGGTTCTAAAAATAAAAGTTAATTGGAAGTACATTTTGTTAATGTTGAATATCAGTACTCTATATAAAAATACTTTTGACAGAAAAGGAGAAATTGGAGTAAGAATTGAGACCATCTTGGCCCTCTTACAGGGTACTTTTTAAAGCAACAAAACTGGTTGAGCAATTGAAACTATATAGGTGTGCATCTTCACAAGCATTCTTAAAAACACATACCCAAACACACAGAACACCTCAACAATGTAGGGGTAATGAATTATGGAACTATAAGCAATAAAACTCCAACCCAAACGCTGCCATCTAGTCAATTCTGATTCATAGTGAGTCTAGAGGACAGGGTACCTGCCCCTGTAGGCTTCTGAGACCAACTTTTTATGGGATTAGGAAGCCTCATCTTTCACCTTCAGCATGGCTCCTGGTTTCAAACTACTAATCTTGCGGTGAACAGGCCAACAGGTAAGCCCACTACACCGCCAGGGCCTGAGTTACTTGCAGGAGGCTTTCTCTGATGCGCAGTAGTCAGCACTGACTTGATGGCAGTGAGCTTGCATTTTTGGCCTGGATGTGCCTAACATACGTGTGACCATTTATATCAGTTTGAGTTCCACAGCAAGGGAGAAGCAGAGACTTCCCTGACAAACTCAGAGTGAATTGAGATCTCTGTGCTCCTTACACAATTCTTAAGCCTCCTCTTTTTCCCAAATAAGTTAGAGATCCTAATATATATATCAAAGAAAACCAAATAACATTTCCAGTGGAAATTTCAACTGTTTAAAAAGGAAAACCCTCTTATTTGGCCAACAGATCAAACTCAGGGCTTTTTAGTAGAAATTCCCCTAGAAAACCCTGAAGTGGTATATCACATCTGTCTATGGGAAGGTGTGAATATAGCCTGCCAACTGGATATCATAGTAATGAAAATGTCACAAATAAAGGTTATCTTCACATATTTTGATTTGACTGTGCCCAACTCTTGCTGTTTTCCCTAACACAGAATAACATCACTGCACAATGTATATATGAGATGGTTTATTAGCACCCATCGTGACTGGTTATAATAATATGTACATGCCCTATTGTACTCTCAATGCAAGACACAAAGTTGAAGTCTGAGAAGTGGACTACATAATGTCCCCTCGCTGGAGTACACCTACCGCAACAAAGGACAGAATTAGGGACACACGGCAGGGGGTGTGGGAACCCCCCACAGTAGAGGAAACCAAGAAGGGAACATAACAGATCAGCAACAGGAACAAAGCTAAGCCACAAAGTGAGGAGTTCCCAAAATAGACGTCAGGCTAGGAGGGCAGTTCCTGGAACCCCACAGGACCGTTGGGGAGATGGTCACAAAGGTCAGCAGGCAGACCTGGAATTAAGTGCTTTTACAGAGATTTTTACTAGTTTTTTGTTTTTTTTCTCTTTTTAGTCACTCTTTTCTTTTTGTTTGTCTCCCTCTGAGGAGAAAGCAACAGGACCAATGGTTCTGGAGGAACTTGGAGGAGGAGAAGGGAGTGGTGAGCAAACAGCACTGTAGACAGGGGAACAACTAGGGAATTAAAATCAACAACGAGGACAACGTAGAGATCCTGGGAGTTGGAGCAACAGCAGTCTAACTTAGAGGAAGTACCAACAGGCAGAAGTAGGGTGAGCATGATTGTGGGACAGGAGGAAGGTAAAAGGAAAACAGGAAAGATGTAGGAAGCATG